GATTGTAAACGTGCGTGAATCAAGAACTGTACCAGTAACGAATAAACATACATTGTGATCGGAAGTGCGTGATCTTCACTCGAAACATCTACCCTACCGTTCCAACACCTGGACGACACACCACCACAGGTTCCGTCCATAGATAGGTTCTACCCATCCAGCGAAAGGTAAGTGAGAACCTCTATCGACCTGACAACGCAGATTAAATTACATAAAGTACGCCGAGGACTCAGTGAGAGAGAGAACTCAGCGACTTTACAATATAAAAAAAAGGTAAGTAATTATTTGAATTATATAAAAGGTAAGTAATATAATATATAATGAATTAAGTAATATGATTTAGTTAATCAATGTATGTGCAAATGTTGCGCCCTGTTTTGAAATACAAGAAGAAAATAATTATATTAAGGCGATGCTAGCGTGGAGGCCGAACTTCGAATTCCGCGTCGGTAAAACAGTCAACGTTTCATCGAAAATTAGGCCGAACAGAAACTGATTTCAACGCCACCTGAATTATCGCATCCAACTAACGTCATGCTATGCTACGTCACTTTTCGCATACACCTAAATGACACACGGATGCTACGATAGCTATATGTATCATGTACGATGAATCAGACCAATTTTTGCGTGTGCCGAGAAACCACAGTTTCTCGAGCGAGTTCGGCTTGCCTTTGATGTGGTTACAGCCGAGAATCGAAGCAGCGTACAGGGAAAAAAGCAAGTTTAAATACCCATGTACGTGTGAGACAATACTAACACAATCAAAATTTAAGATTAAAACCTTTTTATTTTTGAATTTTTTTTAATGACAATGTTACTAACGTATTTATGAGATTTTTCTGATTAAAACAAGATCAAACATGGCATAATTTGAATTATAATTATTTATTTACTTATTTATATCTAAATAAGTAAAAATAATGCAAATTATATGGTGTTTGGTCTTATTTTAATCAGAAGAATCTTACAATTACATTGGTAAAAGTTTTATTTAGCAAAAATGAAAAATAAAAAAGTTATTGTTGAATTAATATTGTTTCACTCAAATGTTTTTTCTCAGGCCCTTTAATTCTCGGACCTCTTTCTCTTTCGCTATTTGCCCTTTTCTACGTTCGCCAACATTGAAGAACTCGTTCCAGCCGTGTTGTTCTTCCAGCATCACATTTTCGTTACCTATTCATCCAATATTTGGGCATAACGCAAAATCAGGAGAGTCCAGCATAATATCACATTCTATGCTGAAAAAACATACTAACTTATCTGTCTAAAAATATTTTAATAACTCTGGCAACTTATTTATTTTTGGGGTGCTTTTCATAAGTAATCAGTATTTCACCAAATTGTTCACAATATCAATTTTTATAACATATCAAAAAATCATCGAAATCGGGAAGGACGTATTTGTTATTCAGTTTCACTAAAAAAGAGAATAATAATAGCAACAATAAATAATCATAGTACGTCTTGTGACACATGGGTTGAAAATCGCTATCATAGTCAATAGAACGATGCGTGAAAAAAAATTTACGCGTCGGAGTTCATCGCCTCTTCAAGACTCGAACTTCCCATTCTCCACGATACATTGTATTGTCGTCGACTGTTCGGTCGACGCACACATATTCACATATACGAACTGCGAATGAGCGCGCGGTCAAGCACAGAAAACGAACAAACTGCGCCCTACAGAAAAAACGAGGAACTAAATTTCTGGTCTGTTTTACCTTGTTGACGTCTTTCGCGAATGAACAATCAACGAAATCGTAGTTTTCAAATTACTTCTACCTGGAGACTTGTACATCATCCCTTGGGTGCTCGTTTTATTCTATCCGACCCAAAGAATATCAGTCTGGTCCCTATTTGGACAAACTATTGGCAGAAATGTAATTTCAATATTTTATAAGTTTTTGACGATTTGGATAATATAAGGACCAGACAAATATTCTTTAGAACCTCCTGAACACGCCCCACAAATTTTTTTACATTCTGTTTAGAAATGAGGACGTAATTTGAAAACTCGCGTCTAGGGATTTTTCTAGGGACTGTCGGTAAAGTTTTCGACGCTTGCATCACCTTAATTGAGTACAGTGAGTGCGCCCTGGATTAGAAAATACAAAAGAAAATAACAATCGTGTTTGTGCTAAAATGAAATACAATAAAAGAAAATTCAGATTATTAATCACAAAATAATTCGTCCTAAAATGAAATACAAAGAAAAATAAATTAATTAGTGAACGCGACTCTAGATATGATTATCAAAACTCTAAATCTATAACTTGAATTTATAATATAATATTATCTAAATGAATTGATCGATTGTCGGAAAATTGGCGAGGATCCGTTCCGACACTGTAGGAGCTAACTCGTTCGGCCGCAGTACGATTTTTGGGCAACTTAGCCGTCACTGATAGGCCGCATCCAAGGAGCTTCTGCTTTCGCTCGCTCGTTAAGCTTGGTTGCGAACCTGACACGTATGAGAACCGCTGCGAACCGGTGCGGTGGTTGAGCGCTCCGGGTCCGACGCGGAACCCTTGCCGCCTTGCCATCAAAAGAATCTATGCTACTGAATTCTAAGTAATAATCGTACCATAGACCCGTGTCAGACTACGATCAGAATCGAAGTGAAACAGCTCCGCGCGGCACGCTCGTATTTATACCAGAAATCTGCTGACGTAGCAGTTTTTTCTACACGTACTTTTGATACCGGAAGTGTTTGGACTTTGACTGAGTTGCATTGAACTTGTCGCAGTGAAGTTGGCTACAAATTCACTAACACATTCACGCCGCGTCGGTGAGCCGATGGCGAGATCGGTTACGTGACTCCGCGCGTTTCGCTATCTTTGTCTATACGTTATTGCTATCTCTCTCTATTCTGCGCTCTATTGCTATCTCTTTCTATGCGTTATTGCTATCTCTATCTATTATGCGCTCTGTGTCGATCTTTTATCGATGCGGTAGTTTTATCGACGCGACAATTATCGATGTTGTTACCGTCTTATTTTTGAATTTATTTTTGAGTTTTGATCTTTCCGAAGGCCGATGGAGGAGGAACAGTGGTTACCTTAATGATTGACTCTTGATACCTGATAAGATTTGACGTTTATTCAATAAGCTAGAATAAGTTGAGATCTTTTGAATATACAGATTAGAAACTATACTTTATCCCTGAGTTACGGCGAGATTGCGAGGTTCTTAGAATACTACAAACGCAGTTGTGCTTACAATAATTAAATCTAGATCCGTTTATGTTTGAATTTGAATACACCCACCGAAGGACTTCACTAGAGTTGCTTGTAGATTTTGAAATAATAATATATATTGAAAAACGCGCGATCGTTATCGGTTGCGCCCGTCTCTAACACTGAAGGTGAGAGTTTTTGTGTATGTATTTACTGGTGACTTGTTCTTCCGGGTCGCGAAACGCCGTCTTTGTGCTACGCCAACCGACGTATGATACAGGAAGTCTTGAGATATTGACTATTGCGTTTTATGGGCAGTGAAGTCAATGCCCAAAACAGGCTATATCATCGCAACCCAAATTGACAGTGCATGGATGGAAGGTACCCTATAATTGTGTAGGTTCCGGCGTCACTGCAATTGAATATACGTGCTCAAAGAGGGTATCTAACGTAGGTATCTGAGCGTAGGAGTAACTGCACAACTGACTTAAGGGCACAGACTCCTTGTACCATGACCTGTATGCGTGCGCTCACACAATCAACGGAAAGCATGCACGTATATGCCATGCGTGAGAGAGACACTCGATTTCGTAGATTTCGTTTTTTGTCTCGATAATTGCACAAATGAAATTTTCGCGGGTACAGCACCCATGGGTAGACTTCACCACAGGGTGGTCTGGTCCGTTTGAACGCTAATAAACACCATACGTTGAGAAAAATGATATTTTCGACACTGTAAGATTGAGACAGACGCTGTCGTAAGCAAACAACATGGCTGCCGAATGCTGCGTTCGGCTGCATTTTAGCAAATATTGGACGATTTAATGGTTTTTTCACCCATAGCACACCAGATCATCCTTCCTTGAATTAGCACAATGTCACTGAAATTCGATTTTTCACAATTTATCACTTGTGGAAGACGTAAAACGAAATTTACGATTTGCACGCATCAGACGTCAAATAGACGGAAGAATAGTTCACTGATTTTCCGACAGAGGCATTGATGGTATATTTGACCACGTTATCATCAGGGTCGATAAAAACAGAAATCAATCGATAGATGTAAATTCTAATTTAACATCACAAACGGCTACGTGAATATAGCCACAAGTAAGGCATAGTTGCCGCAACGTATTAGACTTCTGTCACGCTGTTCACACCTGTTACAATTTTAACCATCAGCACAATGAATCGGCTCGAGTCGAGAAAGAAGTCCGAGAATAAAACAATACATATATTAATGTGTGCAACCATAAATCTTTTTTATTCATATCTATAATCATGTTTTTTTATCAATGAAATTACAGAAATATGCCAGATAAATGAATTGTAAAACTTGCACATTTTGTAATATTTCGCATATTCTATATGCGAAAAGACATAGAAGGCGATATAAATGTGCTGTTTGTATTCCTATTTATGTATCTATCATTTACTGACGAGATTTTGATTCTTGCCGGGCATACAAAAGGACAGCGCGAACGAAAGAGAGACAGCAAGAACGAAATAATACACATAACGTACGCGACTATAAAACTTATAGGAATGAAAACTACAGGACATTAATAATGTCAACAGTTTCACTTCAAACTAATTTATTGACTAACTCTTACACTACACTTATACATTACAGTTACACCAACCCCAAACGCGTCTATAAATACAAAACAAAGAATCAGCGGCCGATGCTCGCCGGTGACAGCTGATCGCGCGGACGGCGTAATGCGTGTAAGTGCGAATGAGAAAGCAAGCTGACGATAGCGATGGCTTGGCGAGACGGACTGTGTTTTGTCGCACGAACATGCTTTTGACTTTCGCGAATATTCTCGCCCGCGGGTTCGTCGCGATCATTCGCCGAAGATTCGGTACAAAGGGAATAAGAAATAAGCAGATATGTAATAATTTAGATTCTTTATTATAATAATCAATTTAAAAATTAAAAATATAAAATATTTATCGACAAATAAAATTATTAAAAAATATTAAAAATTACACGCCGCCCGCCGCCTCTTCCGCCGCCACGGCGTCCTCCTCTCTCACCACGACGGCCACTCCATCGCCCACCTGACGAGAACTTCGCGTCGCGAACAGTCGCAAATACGTTGTTGTACAAATAAATACTCGTTGTTACAAGCGCCTTAGTCATTTCGTCTCCCGGTGTCACACCCCACAGTGTTGTTGGGTTGAAATAAATGGGATAAAGTGCATGATAAAAAAAAGTGTAATTATGTTTGTAAATCGCATTGTGTATGGGAATGTATAGTATATCTGTAAAAATAATAAATAATACATTTGATGGCGTTCCTGAGAATCAACACGTGTTCTCCACCTAACTCGACTTCAGCAGCAACCGTAAGTGAAAATATAATGTACATAAATCGCAATTCAGCATTGTGCTTTTATTACCAATATAAAAACATAAAATAGTGTATTAAACTTACAATACAATTTATAATGGAAAATGAAGGAACATGTCTAGGAAAGGGACCGTTTAGTGATTGCGACGGAGGTATACATACGTCGTTGAATTCGTTTTGGCGAGTACATTACTAATTTGAGTATCATTATTTGTGGAAATTCATTTTTTTCGTGACTATAAACTTTCAATAAAAAAATGAGGTTAAGTACACTTCGACAGATCTATGGGCAGAAATTGTACTTTATTACTCTACAAATATTTATTCCGAATTATCTAAATTATGCATATTTATATTTTCTCTGGAATCGAATGAAATCTTTGCAATTTCTGTTAAGATTTCGTCGAACAAGACTGCATTTTCGCTTTTGACATTTTTTGTGAAAATATAATGGCTTAAATATCTCATAAAATTGTCCTTCTTGCTAGAAATAGAAAATATTAATAGCATTATAATTTATAAAAAAGACAATACATTAAAAAAATGCGAGTAAAGTTATAAATAATAACTGATAACATTCTGGTAGAAAATGTTTGGTATGTGCCGAGTGCTTCCTACAGTATTAATGCATGCATCTATTAGAGGATCTTTAAAATTTATGCTATGGTTTATTTTCAAATGTTTATATCCCCCTTTCTCTAAAATATTGTAAAGCTTTACAGCTATCGGATGTAATTGTCTTTGGGGACCTAATCCATTCCTTTATAATTCCTACTAGTGTGAATCTCTACTTTCAGCAGGCACTAAAAATACTTTGCTGCTCTCTCTCTCTCAGTGCCTCTAAACATCAGATGATCCCTCAACATAATGCCTTTTATGATATTTCCGTTTGCCGAATTTGGACTTGTCAATTTCTATAATTTTTCCTTCGCCAATTCCTACCAATCAGTTCATAAAAGTTATAACCAATCAATCATCACTTGTACAAAATATAACCATTGTTTCTATTCAGTTCCAATTCCCTTATAATATAACATTGGTCGTAGTTATACACAGGCATTAAAGTTAATTTTAATACTGTCTTGTAACTCACTTTAGTTTTTTAAAAAAACGTTCCTTTTTTCCTGATATTTTAACATTGCAAACTTTCTTCTTTTAGTTAGGAGTAGCAGATGCTGGAATAGTCAATGTGGAACGACAATTTGCATCTACTATTTTCATTGAATGTCCACATTATGGACAATTCATTTCTGTTTTAATTAGCATCATATTCTGTAGAAATTTGAATAATGAATTTTGATCCTGGCAAAATTCATGAACATTAATCAAATTCCATTTTTTTGGAATTATACATATGTTCAGTCATTGTGATTATGGAACTCGCTACAATCCACAAAGTACAAAAGATGAAAAAAAGTCAGCATTAGTAGTTTGAAACCAAAGGAAGACACATTCTTCATTTATTAATTATTTGAAATTCACTTTTCAAATTCCTGCAGAATAAAGTGTTAATAAAGTAAGAAATGAATTGTCCACAAAGTGGCAATGCTACAAAAATGAAAACCGAATCTCTCATACTTGTTGAAAGTAGGAATACTAATATTGCTACCATGAAAGTGCTAAAAATTTTAATTCAAATGTTAGTGCCAGCTGGCCATTAATATAACCTATCTTGACCTCATCTAATTTAACTTAACCTGCTGAATATGTAGTTCGTTTCCTAGGAATATGCTAATTCGAGCTAAGAAAAACGGAAAATGCTGCATAAGTGAAACTTATTCCATTTCTTAATAACACAGAAATGATTTTAATCATTAAAGTGCAATGAAAAATATTTATTATATTCTAGCAGAAATAATAAGTATTTACTATCTATGGTAATATGTAGACAATATTACTTTTTATATAACAAAGAGCTCGTTTTGTTCAGTTAACACATTATCCATCAGCCATAAATAAAATAGATAAGCACTATCACCTTACAAGTTCACAGTAATTAAAGATAAAGCATTGTAATCCTTCTTTTTTATTTCTTCTTAATAGAAGTACATCTAACTTTCATTATTTTAACTGAGTTATATGTATGCAAATTTGTAATAAACAGAAAGTTAATAATTCATTTTCCATCAACAGCCCATGGTGTTGAAGAAACTATTAATAGGCTTCCTGTAGATAAAGTGTTAATGGAACAATGCATGTAGATCATATTATAACATCTTGTTTTTGCTTTAATTATCATATGGTAATAATAATACATGTAGGTCATTTATTACAGATAAAATAAATTATATGCTAATATGCTACGTTGTTTACGTCATAATCTTTATGACATTAACATATTTGCAAACGTAAATGAGAAACAAATGTTGCATGTATTAATGAAATTATAACAGTGTAAGGGATGTTAATAGTAATTTAATATTACCAACTTAAGAAACTGTATTTTGTTATTAATTAACATTATTCAATATCTGTTAAGAACAAAGTGTTCTGCATTAAAAACTAACATATATTATTGTTGCACAGTGGGTTGCGGAGAAGGTTTATTTTACACTCACTGTTGAATAACCTTTTTATAATGTTTTATTCTCAGTTTGCTTAATAATAAAATGTAACATAAGTTTGAACCTTTTTATGATATAATTAACTAAATAATAAATGATAGACTTTCTCTTTATGGGTAACGCTATTTCTAATCTCTCTTCTTATCCTTACTGTTCTCTAACGAATAACCGGAAGTACGTACGCGTGGGACTATCTTTACTATATAATTGGCGCTATTATTTGAATTTTGATTGTCTTATATTAACAATTATTATTAGTCAGGGATTTTAGTAACGATTCGCTTTTGCAAAGAAACACTCGTTTTCGGTTTTCGCACGTACACATTTTATTCTACATATACAGCCGCGGAGACAACAACCACGGTTAACACTCTTCACTCGTGGGGGTACTTAAAGACCCAAAACGTATATGATGTCACGCTTTTTTGTCTATATGTTTACATATTTACATTTGTACAGAGATGGCTGGATCAGTACGTCTGTGAAGCTGGCCCCTCATTATCAAAAACTTGAAAAATTGATAAGAGTTCTGAATGCCCCCTAAGAGTCATAGAGTTCTCTATCAGTTTTAAAAATAGTTCCGTCGGTTAAAGTATCGAAAATAGCATTTGAAAACTTTGAAGAGCTATAACTTTTTTGCTTTCAACTTTAGCATTTTGGTTGTTAAGGATGATTGATAGAACTGTTCGGGGGGCTACCAGAACTCTCAGCAAAATGGTCGATTACAAAAAAAAAAATTTTTTTGTTAATTTTAGGGGTGAACAGTTCTGACAGCCTCCCGAAAAGTTCTATCGATAATTATTAACAGTCAAAGCGCTGCGATATGAAATAAAAAAGTTCTCGCTGCTCGAAGTTGCAGGATCGAAAATTTTTCTCGATAACTGACAATTCTGTTGACAGTTCTGGCAGCCTCTTGAAGAGTTCTACCGATAATTATTAACATTCGAAGCGCTACGATGCGAAATAAAAATGTTCTCGCTGCTCGAAGTTACAGGATCGAAAATTATTTGTCCATAAGGGTGAAAATTTTTCTTGATAATTGACAATTCTGTTGAGAGCTCTGGTTGCCCCCCAAAGAGTTCTATCAATTATCCTTAACAACCAAAGTGCTAAAGTTAATAGCAGAAAGGTTATAGCTCTTCAAAGTTTTCAAATGCTATTTTCGATACTTTAATCGATGGAACTATTTTTAAAACTGATGGAGAACTCTAGGCCTCTTAGGGGAGTACATTCAGAACTCTTATCAATTTTTCAAATTTTTGATAATAAGGGGCCAGTTTCACAGAGGTTGGATCGGTATTAAACTGACGTCGGTAATCTGACATAATTCAAAACTAATATCTTTATTTTTAAAGTCACTAATTTCATCCAGAGGCATATGTTCTTCCAAATTTTTGGATAAAACAGATGGAATTTGGTAATTATTTAGATTATGGACGGTAACTCCGATTTCGATGATTTTTGAATATGTTGTAGAAATCAACATTTTGAACAACTTTCTCCTATACATATAACCGCCGCTCGGCCTTAGTTTTCGAGATATTTTCGAAAAACTGTCGAAACTAACACATTGAATTCTGGCCATCCATGTGCGTCCATGACAACGTACGCATTAGTATGGGATTGCCGCTTTTCTACTGTTTCTGCAGGCAACAGCACGGCGACCGATGACCAATATATACCTTGTGTACTTCTGCATTCATGATTTCAATGTATCGTAGCTATGATGGCAGCTGGGAATTTAATATAGCCTAACCTAACCCAATCTACTCTACCTAATGAGTGAATTAAGTTAGGTTGGGGTAAAGTGATATTCTGGTCGCCGTTAGGCGACCAGACACACATACTGAGATTCAAAATCATGAAAATTAGTTAAATTTAATTTTTAAGCCCACCTGTTATTATATGAATATATATATTGGTGTCGGTCACCGTGCTGCTGCCTGCAAAAACAATAGGAAAGCGGCGATCGCACACTGACGCGTAAGAAGTACACGGACGCACACGAACAGGCAGAATTCAATGTATTAGTTTCGACAGTTTTTCGAAAATATCTCGAAAACTAACGCCGAGCGGCGGTTATATGTATAGGAAAAAGTTGTTCAAAATGTTGATTTCTACAACATATTCAAAAATCATCGAAATCGGAGTTACCGTCCGTAATTTAAATAATTACCAAGTTCGCTCGTATCCTTGCAAGGTCAGCGGTAGTACATTTATGGGATAGAGGTAGCTAACGAAACCTCCTATCTTATAAGTGTTGCCGTTTGTGATCATTTATGGAACAGTGGAAGCGTCCCGTTTGAGAATTAGCTACCTCCTATTCCATAAATGTACCAGTAACTCGAATCCGTCGTTCTTTGATGTTTCCGAACATAGAAAAGGATAGCGCAAGAAGGATAAAGAAAGAGAAAAAGACTCGTAAGTATAACATTTAACTCAATATTATATCACTAAATGTTGACCGATTTATATCGTGTTTAGCTTCATTTTAATCAGGAAAATCTCCCCCACATGATAGTGAAATCTTTATTAACAAAAAATATAAAATAAAAAATTTTATTCTGTGCATTAGTATGGTTACACTGACACGGGACATTTAAACGAAGGCAATAAATTCCGGTCTCATTCCCTCTTTCGTTTTTAGCTACTGACTCTTTCTACGTTCGACGGTGTCGGCAAACTACATATAATCAAATTCGAAAAACGATTCTCCTATTCCATAAGAGTTGCGAAGCGGACCCGTATAGTAACATTTATCGAGTTTTTACTGTACATCGTCGTGAGGAAGACGATTGCATATTTTATTACTTACGGTAACGTAGAATCGTAAGCAATTTTCGCGGAAGTTAATAATTTCACTTTCTATTACACCGTTCTGTAATACCTCTTCCAAGTGCAGTTCACACTCAGTTCCAAGTTCTACTTCATTTAGTGGAACTTGGTTAGATTGGCAGGAGAAATCCATCTGCCTAACTAAATCTAAACGTTTAATTAGAGCAGGTTTCAAAAACCTGCACAAGAAAAATTGAAGCAGCCTCGCTGATGCAGGCTGCAAGTCCGGGATCATAGTTTCTCTACCCTGGAAAGAGACATTATTGATATTTAAAATGTTTAAGGTATACTAGTGGAACGCCCCGTAATCAGTTAAAATATAAATTTGACTTTGCCCACCACCCACCCCAAGCTACAATTTCATGATATTAAACCAAATGAAACTTTTAATTAAAAACTTCGTTGTAAACTACATTGTGTTGTAAAAATACATCAGTTTGATTTGTTAGAAAATTTGTTGCCCAGGATCCGCTATTATCTCACGAAAACTTTGACCCCTGCGCAGTAGTAAACCGTAAGAGATAGACATGCGCAGTAGATTTTTACAAAGAAAGTAATCAAAGAAAAAGTAGTCGAAGCACCCATAATGATGACGTAATTAGTTTTTATGTATCCTTTAAAAAGTGTCCCTTAATAAGGGTTTTACTGTACTATCATTGTAAGAGTACATATAATATTTTTCTGCCTTGTTTTCGAGCATGCGTACAACGTCTCAGCGTAACTCACGGACATGTTTCTGCGTTATAATATGATGATTCGAGAAAATAAAAATACCCTTTCATAAGAGGGTTATTGAAAAATAATAAATAATTTTCAGCGACATTAGATTTTTCGGAAAATACCTGTTCTGTGAAGAATCTAATCAAATCGTCCCAAATTTCCAAAAATCGCTGAACGCACTGGTGCATCGCCAACCAGCGCGTGTCCGATAGTTTCAGAACTTTCAGCGGGCAGTTCTGATAGCTTTCCTGAAACTGCCGGAAAATTGCAGCTCGTTTGGGGCTGCTATTTATAAAAGAAATCACACCCCGAAGCAATTTGAAGCATTCCTCTGGAAGTGTAGCGCAAGCAGCACTCGTTGCCAACGCTACCGAATGACATACGCAAGGGAGTGTAATTACATTACTGTTTTTTTCCAGCAATTTAGTTTTAAAAGAAGAATTCCTCCCCGTCATTACAGAAGCATTATCGGAACTAAGGGCCGCGATATTTTGCAGCGGAATTTGCGGAACTATCGGAAAGATTTGAAAATCTTTTCCGCTGAACAATCGCTGGCGTCCAGATGAATTAGTTGCAATAATTCTGTACGCACTACAAAACTACATGGCTCCACATACCTCACCGCTAAGGTAAGTCATTTATCGTTAGTCGAGTCCGACGTTTCGTCCTCGTGTATAGAAAATTTCAACGTTCGGTTTCCCGAACGCATAAAACATTATTGATAATTTGTGTACATTTTGTACGACCTACTCGTATTCTCTCTAACACCCCTAGCTCTTTTCCTATATCTTGCATAAGAGCAAGAAAATCTGTCGCGATAGATAATACAACATTATGTTCTGCGAAGAATGCGGCATACCTAATTTCCGCGATCTTGACTTTGTCTTAAAGGGACGACGAAGGTACCGCACTTTGCTTCACTATCTCACATCCTAATTCCTCTGATGCCGAATATCCTACACTTAAATCTATCCTATCCACGCTACTTGAAATATTACTATTATGGAGCATTTGCTCCATATTACACTCCCTCGCAAAATTAGAGGAACACGCACTTTTTACGTAGAAATTATGCGAACTTCGAATGGACGTAACTTCGGTCCGAAAAGTTGTATTGAAGTGAGCAATATAGCAGGTAAAAGAGCAAATGGTCCTCTTTCGAAACCTGTTTGTGGAATTTTCAAATTTAGTAAAATTTTGAAGTTATGTAGCTTCGAAGAAATATTAACAGTAATTGTAATTTTTTCAATCGATTTTCTCTGTCTCTGTCGGCTCAGCAGAATTTTTTTTCTTAGCTGTAACAATTAGACAGGAAAGTCTGTTTCTTTAGCTTTAATTCCCTCTCTTCAAACACCTTGTGTGATTTTTTTTGACCGAGTTATTCAAGTTTAAAATAAACAAATCATTCTCAACTTTCATGACCTGTATTTCACGACCAGTTCCACTTACAGGAATTAAAAGAAATGCAAATTAAAGGTCAAACAGTCAGCTTCGACACTGTATTATCAGATATCATAAGGAGACCCTTCCACCCTATTTATTTTTGCATTAATTGACATCATACAAATCTGCGAAATTGAAAGTTGCAAACAAAGCGTGATAAAACATTCAAATGATGGTATTCAAGTGGCACCATTTGATACCTTGAAGCAGAAACCATACCCTTTCAAATTCCGTCGGAATTTTTCGATTATTGCGATCTGGTGCAGTGATATTGCATTGTTATACATATATTATCATCGTACCCACTTTTTACATGTGCCGCCCGCAAATGCAGCCACTGGGCCCCAAAACTACCCAGACCGTACCGCGGCCCGCAACGCAGTTTTGTGCACTCGGCCCACCCAGGCCGCCGGTACGGTTGCGTTGGCCGCGACTGCGGTTTAGATTGGCCTGCCGCCGCAGCTGGCGGCATTCCCTAACGCGCTGCCGCTCCAACCGCCGCTGCTCCATTGATATGTATGTCTGGAAAAATAAATATTATGTTATTATATACGAACAATGAATAACAGAAATAACGTGCAAAGAGGAAAGTAAAGAAACTACTTAGGATATACCCAGCATGCTGCTCTTGTGCCGGCGGCTGCAGTTGCTGATGTACCGGCCGGTACTGCTGGAAAAATAAACATTATGTTATTATATATAAAGAATAAAGTGCAGAAATAACGTGCAAAGGAGGAAAGTAAAATAACTACTTACGATATACCCAGCATGCTGCTGCATATAATCTTTCATTTGCAGCATGTCTTGATGCAGCTGCAGCTGCTGCTGCGGCTGGAGTTGCGGCTGCGGCTGCGCCCCCAATGATTTTGCTTTTCTTTGTTCTAAAAAAACATTGATAATACACCGGAAAACAAAAATTGTCTCTGCACAAGTTATCGCGCAAAATTGAAACAGAATATGTACCTCAAATTGGACTAAATGACTTGATTAATTTACAAAGGTATGTACTTTTGTCGTTTTACAAAATTACAATTTTTCGAAATCGTGAAAAAAATAGTAAAAGTGTAGACGCGTATCCGCGAGACAATGAAACAGACGACTATTCCAACGGTTTCTGTAACAATTGCTGCAGAAACCGTTGGAATAGTCGGCTGTTACATTGTCTCGCGGACACGCGTTTACAAAAGGCAATTTTAACTTTTTCATGTGAGCCTGTAATGAAAATTTAAAATATGACATTTCTAAATTTAAGTTGTTATGTGCATGCTGAAAATTACATGTAATTAATTTCTAAAAATCGTGACTTTTCATGTAAGAACGTGACTAGTTATGTTCTTAGATGAAAAGTCGCGATTCTCGGAAAAGTTAATTACTTGTAACTTCTAAATGCATTGACCGATCTCAATGAAATTTGTAGCATGCATATAACTCATTTGAATCTACGAAAGACATATTTTACATTTTCATTATAGGCTCACATAAAAAAGTTGAAAAATTACCCCTGAGTATTTTTTCTCACAGTTTGAACAAATTGGAAAGACAACAAAAGCACATATCTTGTACATTTTTGTATAGCTTCTCGAGAAACTTCAAGTCATTTGGTTCAATTTTAAATAAGGTATTCTGTTTGAAACGGTTAGGTAAAGATGAAAAGAAACAATTACTGCGATTTCGTAGATCCATTTTCGAAGTATAACTTGCAGCACGACCTCCCTCATTCGCAGGACGTATGGAACTGTCGCTACCAGTGAAATTTGGAAACGTCACAGCGTTGGCGTTTCGTTTTTGTTTCACACGTACGTAGCGCGTTGTTATGGCTCGCGTTGCGATGGCCCGCGTTGTCATCTACATACTTTTTTCTAACAATAAGACGTCTTCGCGGTAACGTAGAAGACATTATTGAAAACATTTCCAAGCATTTGTGAAAAAAATAAGCACAAATGGGAAATAAAAGAAATAGTAGTCGTCACAGGTTTGCGGGAAGTAAGAGGCTCTCCTTCAAAAGTAGTTGTAAAAAACTGTAAGTGTTTCACATTTATGCATTTCAAAAATTTGTATGAATTATCCTACAAATATTTCCAACTTTATGCGTTTTACCTTGCAGGCGACATAAACAACAGCAATCGTCGGCAATGACGATTCAAGATGCTGCAGTTTTCGAAGAGAGATCTTCTGTACCAGCGAAATGTGTAGAAAAAAATGTAAAGGGGGATAGTCAGACAGATATGTCAGACTATCTACACATTTGCAAATGTTATAATGAAGATCCGTTATTTTCCCCAAATAATCCTAAAGTTTGTAACGTTTTTGTCTTTTGCTACTTTTTACGAAGGAGAATGAACGCGAGTAGTACGAGCGTACGATTTCCCCTACGATTCTCAAGGAGTGGTTCGCGTTCGCTGCGCGTGCTCGAAGGCAGAAGGAACGGTGAAGTCAGTAATGAGACGTAGGTTGGCGGTGTAACAAAATACTAATTTATTCAAAAAAAATAATAGTGACTGGAGTATGGCAAAAGAGCCTATCACAGAATGGTGGAAGCACCGCAAATATTATGGCAGTTTACGCGCTTAATAATCAACGGAACGCAATTTCCATCTACTAGATGTTCAATCGACGCGCTTATCATAAAAATACAACATACATCGGACCTGACTAGATTGATCGTCAATAGTTCGTACCAAGCACGCAGATCGGATTTACACGAATCGGAAATATAATACAAGAATGGTAACGCAAAAAAAAATATTTTAACCAGTCGAGCGACTTTAACGCGACTCAAAAAAAAACTCAGTCTTCTTTTATACGGAAAAATGACTGGTTGAATAACGCACCTTAAGAACCGCGGAATAATTATTGTTGAATAAAATATAATCTAAGAAAATAGAAGGAAATATAACGCAAAGAAAAGATGTCAACCAGTCGAGCGACTTTAACGCGACTCAAAAAACTCAGTCTTCTTTTATACGGAAAAATGACTGGTTGAATAACGCTTTTTAAGAAAATATAAGAAAATATACGAAAATATAAAAGAATATACCAAAAATGACCAGAACGCAATACCGTGACTCTAATCGGAATGCGAAAGGTAATATACACGACGGTTACAAAATTTCGTCGGTCGTCTACGATTTAAACGGCTTTCACCAAGGACGAGTTATTGTTCGCTCGATTCGTCTTGAAAACATACACTGAAGTCACGACGCACGAAGGTCGCGTGATCGTGGAGCGCGTAGGCAAAAAAAAAGGAACGTTTAAATTTACTAACCGTACAGCGAAATATTAACTTTTACGCGCCTCTCAAATCGCAGAATGGCGAGCCAGTGGATTCCGAGGATACTTCCGGTCCAGCGAGGTTTTCACCTGCGAACCTCAGATCGACAGGGGCACTGACTTCACGATTTCACTCACAATCAAAGGATGAGAAGGTCGCGCACTAAGTCCCGACCCTCGACTCCTTTGCAGATTGAAATACGTGACTTTAAGAGTATCCGATAACCGTGGATTTGCCGGAATCCGTCAACGTTCTTCCTGTCGTACACGGCGTACTCAAGGAAGATATTAAGACTGCCAAGAGCGAGATCACGGCCCTCCAAATTGCAATGTAAAATTGCCAGAGCACAAGCAAAACGATGATGACTCGACTAGGTTTCCCTAGGAATCAACGATGTCTCGGATATGCCTGTGTAGAGCGATTTTTCGAGGGTGCTGAGTCCCAAGATAGAAGGCCACTACTAAATGAAAGGGAGATGTCCAAGCTCGGGCTCTAGTCACGACTTGCTGGATCGCAATCTTAAGACGGTTGTCTCTAGGAAGAGAGCTGTAGGCGAAAGCGTCCGTTCTGCTTGTCGTTTGGGACCAGAGTGTCGATCGATGGATCGACACTGAGCTCCTTCGATCCGGCGTTCGAAGGAGGGGATTCGCGCACGCGCTCCACTGAGACAAATAAGTAGGGATAGCACATACCATCGCTATAGTTCCGATCTCCCAAGAAAAATCTATACTACTTTGTACTGTACTATGTAACTGTATAAATGTACGGTTACAAGTTGTAGGGCGCATCTGAGATCACATTCTTCGCGAAAATACAGATGTAGGGCGCATCTCAAATCACGTCCTTCGTAAAAACGTTGAAACTGTCGTTGTACAATGCGAATCTACAAGTGTGAGACCCACTGTACAAAACGTC